TTCTCATATAATAGAGAAGACATTGAACATTACAAACAACAAACAAACAGTACACTTAAAAGGATGATAGAAACTCAAAACTCAAGGACAACATAGCCCGAGAGAGAGAGAGAGAGATAGACATAGACAAACACTAGAAACATTTTATTTGCAATAAAGCAACAAACCCAAGACTCAATATTCATAAATGATCCAAATTCAACGGAATCTGAATCACACACTACTTTTTCTTTTATTCAAAGATGACCTAAACTTCCAAAGTCAAACGGGCCAGCATTCAGACTAAAGCAAGAGTCCTCTGTCTCAAATCTCTCTATCCCTTCGTTAGAAAATATTCACAATCATTAACCTATTATGATTCAATAGTCGTGAATATCATAAAAGATCAGAATAAAGAAATTTAAAAACAGAAGACCGAGACTTAGCCCTAACCTAGAGTTGGAGGACCTTCTTCCAAGAAGGCCTGTTGCTGATATCATCCCACCATGCACTCACATTCTTCCTATTCTTAACCATGTACTCCTTCCCCATGGGACCCACCAAGTATTGGGTGAAAGGAAGGTGGCTAAGATCAGCAAGGCTGAAGAAATCACCAGCCAAGTACTTGTACTTTGAAAGCCTATCCTCATAGATGTCCAACACTTTCCCAAGTTTCTCTTCACTCTCTTGAATCAACTTCTCATCAGCTGTGAATCCCATTTTGGAGCTGAAAAGTATTTGGATAGTCAAGTTGTAGATGTGTGGGTGAAAGTTGTGCGCTTCAGCTTCCAGCCATTGTTCCACCAAACCCCTTTCCTCTATTGTCTTTCCAAGCAATTCTGTTCCTTGCGACTTGTACTTCTCTGCATAGTACCTTATGATGGCCCTTGATTCTTTGAAAAAAAAAATAATGAAAAAAAAAAAGGTCAGAAAAAAGAGAAAAGAATAAAGTGATTTTTGCAAAATGAAAGGACGAGTGAAAAATATAAATGAAATCTTTTTATTTTCGATAGATCGGAAAGAAAAAAATAGAAATGAAACTACTGGGATTAAAAGTAAAAAAGAATGCTTCTATAGCATTCCTTGCCACAATATATGAAGGAAAATGATAGGGTCAATTACACATTTCATTTCAATAGTTTGACTTAAATTTTGGACAATCCATTGCCACAATATGAAAGGAAATGTTAGGGTTAATTACACTTTTTCACTCATATAGTTTGACTTAAATATCACTTCAATCTTTATTGCTTTAATTTAAATAATTTAATCATTACACTTTAAGTTTATTATCAATTTGACCATTCAGTCTAAATTTTTATAAATTTTGTCTACGTATACACTTTAAAAAACTGATAAGTGTTTCAAAATTGTAAATTTTAACCTTTAATTTGGACTTAAAGACCAAATTGAAACTACACTACGTGTAAGGACTAAATTATTTAATTTGAATTTATAAGGACTAAAACAAAATTTAAATCAAATTACAAGAGTAAAAAGTGTAATGAACCCAAAATGTTAGGTTCCGTTTGGTCAAGTTTTTAAAAAGAGTTTTGAATTCTATTTTGAAAGATAAATTATTAAAAAGAGTTTTGAAAATTGAAAATTTATTTGGTTATGAAATTTAAAAATAATTTTGGGATGATAATTATTTTTTTTTATAGTTGAATAGATAGATGTGAGAGAAAATTTGATTGATCAACATGTAAAATGTGAGAGAATGAGAGAGTATAGAGAAAAAATGATTGATTGATTTATTAATAAAAAAAAAAGGAGAGAGGAGAGAAAAAAATAATTTTGAATTTTTTTTAAAAATTGGTAAATCAAACATTTTGATTTTTTTGATCCAAATATTAATTTTAAAACTAAACCAAACCTTAAATATGTGAATTATTGAACTAATTTAACATAACATACAAATTAAGATTTAAAACCAAGTCAATTAAAAACACAAGACTAAAATGACATAGATGACAAAGTATGTGAATTATTGGCATAATTTGCCCAATTTGACAATCAGTTTTTGAAATTTATTTGAAAACAATCACTTTTTAATATATACCAAAAAGTTGTTTTTGATTTTTTAAAAATTATTTTTACACAAAAATAAAAATACTTAAATACTATAGATATGTTTAAAATTTTTATTGCTTTTATTTATGAAGATTTAAAAAGCATTGGAGGATAAAACAAAAACAAAAACAAAAATAAAAATAAGAACAAGAGCACAACCAAACAATCATGAAATCCCAACTAGGGGTGTGCATAATACCGCCGAAACCGCCAAAATCGCACCGAACCGCACCGCCAAGGTAAATTCGTTATTATTTGCCAATCGAACCGTCGATTTTTGGTAAGAAAAATGACAAATTCTAGTGACACTTTTATCAATCCGCTGATTTCTATTTTTCTTCCAAACCGCACCGACCCGCACCGCTATTAAATCATGTTTTAAAAGATTCTAAAAATTCTTTTTTACTTAAGTTTGCTTATTGTTCTATACCTTAGAATATAGTATTACATTACTGCTCGAGGGGAATTCAAGATGTCGGTAATTCAAAATAAAGTTGGATTCCAATTCACTTTTCAATCTTTTTTTTTTCCTGGCCATGTTACAATAAAAATACTTAAATACTATAGATATTTTTAAAATTTTTATTGCTTTTATTTATGAAGATTTAAAAAGCATTGGAGGATAAAACAAAAATAAAAATAAGAACAAGAGCACAACCAAACAATCATGAAATCCCAACCATCAACTCCACCGTCCCCACCCCACAAAACAAAACAAAACAAATGATGTGTGGATGCTCGTGCCTTATCTTTACCAATATATATGTAACATCTTTGGCAGAAAATAAAATAATAAAGGGGAAAATTTAAAAGGATTATTTTTTTTTTAGAACAAAAAAAAAAAAAATTTGTTTGAGGAGTCATCCCAGCATCCATGGGTTCAGATCTCAAGATAACGGGTTGCCAGTTTAATTTAACTCAACTTATAAAAGGAGACTCACTACTAAAATAACAGTAGAGCTCATCGATCACTCCACCAAAATGAAAGGATACACTTCATACTTTATCAACTTTAATAATTAAAAATATTTTGTACATAAAATTAAGAAAAAAGTTACATAGAAAAGGTTAAAAAAAAATGAATAAAGACTTTTACCAAATAAAGTGTAGTCTCCATCTTGAATGACAGGAAGAACTCCAAAGGGCTGCATATGAAGATAAATCAATGTGAAAAGATCACCAAGTTCAATTGTGTTTACATCATCGATTTAGGAGAGATTAGCTTGGCAAAAACTAAAAAAAAAAAATGTAAAATTAGGATCAAACTATAGGGAATCAAACTAAAAGAGAACTTAAAACTATATTGATCAAAATAAAATTAGGATCAAACTGTAGGGGTCTCATATAGATAAGTAGGTATGAATGGCAAGAAGAGAGAGAGAGAGAGAGAGAGAGAGAGAGAGAACCTGTAGTTGGAGAAATTCTTGAAGTTTGTGTTCCCCTTTGATGAGATCAATGGGAACAGTCTCAAATTCAATCCCTTTTTCAATTAGACAAACGATCACACGCTTTGGGCAAGCATAGTCTGGACCATACACCTTCACCACCATTATTGTTCCCAGCTCTCTCTCTCTCTCTCTCTCTCTCTCCCTCTTCTTCACAGTACAAAGACCAAACCGTGGTGCACGTGCTTCTTATTGTGCCTTTCCCTTTGTCTTGATTTGGAGATTTTTTGTTTTTTTTTTTTTCGAACAGGTCTTGATTTGGAGATTGATTGTAACTTACCAACTTGTTTTTTAGTAAATAGGGGATGGATTTATTTATTAGCTCACTTACTAATTCTAATAATAAGAGAAAATATCATTTTATTTCTTAAATTATTATTTAAAAATTAATTTTAATTCTTATTTTTTTAATAATATTAATTTTATACCTAAATTATTTGATTTTAAACCAATTTTGCCTTTACTGTTAGTTACTATTTGTAATCAAATAAAAGTTATTGATGTGACAACGAAATTTCATTTGAAATTTTATTTTACTCCTTAAATTATCTTTAAAATGTCAATTACTCCCAAATTTCATTTTATTTAGGTGTCTATTTGATATTTTGGAATAGTTAGGGATAACATAAAATATCAAATAAAATTTGGGTGTCACATCAGTAACTTTCATTTGTTTATAACCGACAATTGATGGTGGAATAAAATTGATACAAAATCAAATAATTTAAGTATAAAATTGATATTATTAAAAGAATATTGATTGAATTGATTTTTAAATAATAATTTAGAGGGTAAAATAATATTTTCTCTAATAATAAGGCACATGCTTGTCTATCGTCCAAAATTTTACATTGATTGAAAAAATGGACCTAAAATTTAAAGAGAGCAAACCCCCACTTTAACTTTTTGAACTGTTTAATTCATATAATTTAATACAAATATTATATATATAAAGAAGATGAAGAAGATGGTCTATTGTCAAAAGTATGTTTATTATTAATTTATTTAAAGATAAATATAATTTAATCACGTTTTGAAATATGTATATGTTTTTATTTTGAGTTTCATTCTGTTCAATTACTATATAGGGAAAAAAACCTCAGCCATAATTGTTGGTCCATTTAGTGAGAAATTACTTAATTACGCAAACAAAAATAGTAAATTGTTTTAGTTATAATAATTGTGAAATCGATTTTTTTTTAAAATTTTAGAAATAGAGAAAAATTTTAGTTATGTACAGGAAAATAACAAAAGATTTCAGTAATTTTTTTTAACATAATTTTGTATATAATATTAATCTTAGATCTCGAGAAGTAAATTTTAAAAAAGTACACTAAAAATTAAAAAAAAAAATCCTCTCAACTTATTGAAGAACAAACCAACGGCTTAATTAGATTAAAAACAATTGATAGAACCAGACTTGGCATTTAAAGATTAATTATAGTTTTCATCCTTGTAATTTGATTTAAATTTCACTTTAATCCCTATAGTTTTAATTCGAACAATTTGATCTGTATAATTTAAGGTTAGTTTCAATTAAAATTTAGATCAAAATATATGGGTGAAAATTGTAATTAACCCTTTATTTAAAAAAAATTGAAAAAAGATTTTAACTTTTAGGTTATTAAATGATAAGACCTTAAATTTTTTTAAATAAAAAAAAGATTTTTTATAATAAAAAAAAAATCCACCAGTGAAAAAAAAAAGCGAACAAATGATTTTTTTTTTCATTTTTTTCTTTAGTTGTTTATTTTATTTTATTTTTTTTGGAATTTTTCTAATATTTTTAGTAAACCAGGTTGACTGTACTTCTATTTTTGTTAGGTGAAGCTTTTATCTTTACAGTAGTTATTGTTGTTAGATAAATCATATACTTGCCCAAACTTTTTCTTGTTAATGTACCTTTTAGTTATTGTTGTTGAGATTTCCATTGGATTGGTAGGCTGGGCAAAGCCCACGAGGCTTAACTCTGAAACTTGCATTACGCCAAAATTGAACTCTAGCGACGGTTTTTTATCGCCGTTAAAGGTTGTAAAATCGCCGTTAAAGTCTTTAACGGCGGTTTTGTTACTGCTGTTTATGCGCGTGTCGGAAAAAGTACAACCGTCGTAAAAAGGTAAATTACCGTCGTTAAAAGTTGACCAAAAACGGCGGTAACATAGGACCAAAAACGGCGGTTTTTTACCGCCGTAAATAGGTTCAAATTTTTTAAAAATATAATTCTTTCTTCTTGCACTCCCCAAGTCATGAACTCTCAACCTCTCATCCACCCACACTAACCACTCTACCATAGCCACTCTTCATGAAATATATTCCCTAAATAAATATTTAAACATTACTTTTACTTTATTGTAGATGGTTTCGCCGGAGCTCGCCGGAGTTTCGCTGGAGCACGCTGGCGTTGCGCCGGAGTTTCGCCGGCAAAGACCACCGTCATTAACGGCGGTAATGATTGGGCATTAGTGGCGGTTTTGTTACCGCCGTCAAAAGTGGGCATTAACGGCGGTTTTTTTAACGGCGGTAACAAAACCGCCGTTAATGATACCTTTAACGATGGTTTTCGTTACCGCCGTTAATAGTACCTTTAACAACGGTTTTCGTTACCGCCGTTAAAAAACCCGCCGTTAATGCCCTGTTTTGGCGTAGTGTTGGTAGAATTATGGTAAGTGTTTGTCTGACTCTGGAGGCCTAATAAAGTGTTTGTCTGACTTCAGTGACCTAGCAAAGTATTTGTTCGACTCTAATGACCTAGCAAAGTGCCTATTTGACTCTGGCAACCTAGCAAAGTGTACTCTGGCAACCTCACAAAGTGTTTGTTTGACTTTGCTGAGCTTAACTCTAGCAACCTAGCAAACTCTAGCGACATAGCAAAAGGTCTAACTCAAGCGACTTAACAAAATGAAAACATCTTGCCCACTTGGAGCATAACACAAGTTGGACTAGACAAACGTAGTTTGTGGACTTAAGGCCGCACAAGAGTGGGCTGGGCTATGTCTAGGTGTTTGGGTGGCGTTGATTGACCATCAAGGGATATGCTAAGCCTTTGGATTGGACTATTGGGCTGGGAATAGAGGCCGATAAGATTGGGCCATGCTGAGGGCTAATCGACTTGAAGGCTTGGGCTGAACTGAGGAGATTCAACTGGACAAATGGCTTGGTAGGTGCGTTGACTAGACAGAATTTGCCTTATGGTGTTGGCTGGACAGAGAGACCTATACAAGCTTAGTATGAGCTTTGACGGGCCTAGCTATGTCTTTGACTAGTTGTAAGGACCTAGCGTTGGCAAGAATCAGACAGAAGTAGCACGACCTTAGTGATTGGTTCTGCTCAGCTGGCTTAGCTTGAAATCAAGACTTGGTCACCAGTTATGTCAATGTCATGCAACCGAAGAGATGGATTGCTATGCCCGATTGTCGATTTAGAAGTTAGAATGTTTCACTTGGACTCGAGCAGTCTGGGTGTTTAAGGATGGACATTATCCTATAAGAAGTTGACTCATAGTGGGATTCTAAGTAGAGGAATTAGAGTCCTAATAAAATTTTACCTTACGGAAACACATAAAAGCTCAGAGTTTGATCTAATCTAGGCAACGCAACTTGACTCAGAGAATTGATAAGAGTTTTTCCCATATTGATCTTAACAGAGCTAACTTAAACATCAGAAGGGTTTTCCGGCATACATCCGCTGATAAGCACCCATGAGTTGTGAATGCAGGTCTTACTATGCCGTTAGAAGGAGTTTGAGTTTGATTACAAGGAACACACGTGCGAGGTATATTTCATGCTCGTACATTATGTAAACAAATAGAGATTTTGTAAAAAATGATTGGCTCTGATATGCTTGCTTTGCTTTTCAAATTCCATACTTTATTGAAAATTAAAACAGTAACATGCCTTTATTTTAGAAGGGTACTATTTAAGCGTATAAATGGACTCATTAAACTATTGAGAAGTATCATTTTGACTCCCTAAACTATAAAAACATACAAATAAATCCCTTAAACTATTGAGAAGTGTTACTTTAACCCATTCTGTTAGGGGGTCTAATTTGTATACTTTTATAGTTTAGAGGGTAAAACGATAATTCTCCATAGTATGGGGGTCTATTTGTATGTATTTATAGTTTATGGGATTAAAGTGATACTTCTCCATATATAATTTTGGAAGTCTTCGTGCAAATAATCTTTTATTTTTTTTTGATTTTTTGTTTCAATGTCAAGCACAATGATGAATTATTGTGAAGCATCCTATTCCCTTCGGAGCCACCATGCCTGAAGATCCCATACTTGTTCTATTGCGATACCAACCCCATTGTAACATAGCATAAACTTGAACATTACGGGGGTCCAACCTACTACCTAACTTGAACATTATCTTGGCGTGCCACAAAAAATCAATTTCAATATTTGCTTGACATAATCTCTTCTAAACTTTCAGTTGGAAAGCACATATGCTATCGCTTATTGGAAGAACTATTCTAGCAATTTCGGTTCTAAATGTCGTTCTGTAATATGCAATGCAAACTCATTTACTTCCTTCTTCCATTTGTCAAGCTATTGATAAAAAAACACTTTCTTTTTATGGGGTGAGTCGACTTCCCATTCTAAATGGCAAGCTATTAATTGGTCTCTTGTTTCTTTCCTAAAGATGGGGGTGGTTTGGGCTTAAGAAACTCAAGAAGAAAAATACTTTTGCTCACTTCATAAATCTTGCTTCGAGATTATGGGGTGTGACTCGACCTCTTTTTGGACACAAGTATTCAAATCCAAATATACTTTCCAAAAACCACTTTTTTAGGAAGCTTCATCAAAACCAAATCATAGTTCCCTTTGGAAAGTCATCATCAAGGCTCGCAATAAAATACCCTACGGAATTCAATGGCAAATTTCTATACACTCAAGTAAATCTTTTTGGTATGACAAATGGCTTTCGGCGGCTCGAACTTGGGACTCTATACAAATCAAAGATGTTCTTTCAGTTGATGGTATATTGCATATTGGTCATTTTAATTCATTACTTGATTGTTCTATTTTGGAGCAAATTCGTGGCATTTTTCTATGCCTGTACTCCACAGTAGAAGACATACCTCTTTGGCCATCCCATTTGGGTGAACTCTAAATGCAGCTTATACATCTCTTCTGGAACCGAATTTTTCCTCCTCG